TATTGGATTAAACTGCTCAGTAGGAACTATGGAAACTGTAGTATTTAATTGCCTAGACAATAAAGATCTTGGCTCTTTGGGAAAAATGCATTTGCTGACTGGTATACAAATATAAGAAACTTTGCTGCATATAGAGTTTGTTGTGGATACTGTACTCCTTCAGTTCTATGTTGTTCTTCATTCTGTGGGACACCTGCCATTTTAAGCAGAAATCAATACACAAGTGGGTGTATGAATATGACACAATCTTCCCAAGTTGGCATCTAGAAACTTTAAGACTTAAATTCCCAGAATTCTCCAGCTAGCATGGCCGGCTGGAGAATTTTGGGAGTTGAAGTCCACAAGTTTTAAAGTTGCCAGGGTTTGACACCCCTGCTCTAGATGTTTCTTAAAAATCTCCAGTGAACATAGTTTTTGGAACAGCAATCCAATATATCTGGAAAATATCTGGTTAAAGCATGTGCAAAGTGCCCCCATTTCATTGTCTTATTTATGTGCTTGTTTTGCTGTGTGCATATCTAATTATTGATAGATATATAGATGTGATAAAACTCGGCAAGAAGTCAGGATTCATGCCTCTAGCAGCCATGTTCAACAGCCGAAGTTTTCCCTAGCCATACATTTCCATGCTTGGAGATGCAAATGATGATGATGATGATTGATGATGATGATGATGATGATGATATTAAAAATACATAAAATTCTGTTCTAATTGCCATGAAGGCTTACAGTAATTGAATAATACTAATCTTAGCAGCAGGATAATTACTTTCCATTCTAATCTGGAAAGCAATCAATTCTATTCATTTTGCAGATGCCTAAATTTTCCACAAGAGGGCACCATTGCTAAATAGATTGTTTAATTCACCCCCTTTTTTTCCCAAGAAAAGACTGCTTTTGTTCAGTTTATATATATGAATGTACACAGACACACACACTTTAAAGATTCCAGTTGTATTTTTATAATGTAGGATCATATTGCAGACAGGCTCATAGGATTTGGGTTTAAAAAATCCAGAAGGTGGCAAGATCAATCCCAGAGGTACACAAACCTCTAACTCTTTGCTCCGCTCTGCTGGTTTTTGTAGCCCAGATTGCTAACCCTAAGCCAAAACCACTGGGATGCATCAGTATTAACAAGACCTTGCATTTTCATTTTATTTATGAAATAATATTTATGCATAACATTTCTGCCACATATAGCATACATTTATTTAGTCGTATGTTTTTACTTAGAACTTTTAAAAGAAGATTAGAGGTAACTTATGATTAGTTTATCCATCTACATGATCTTTTTCATTTTCTCTTTTAAAATCTGTCCATATCACCATTTTGTCTCCATCCATCCATCCATCATCTCTCTGTCTTTCTATCTATTCACATCCCCAAGATTTTTTGGGGAAAACCTGGTGTTAGTAGCTTTCTTAAGGACCAACAGGATTGGGCAAATTTGATCCCTAGAGCAACGACCCCCAACCTTTTGGCATCAGGACCAGTTCCATGGAGAGAGATTTTTCTGTGGACCAAAGCGGGTATGGTTCACGTTCTGCCCGCAGATAGGGCTTCACTTGTTTGCGCAGCCCGTTTCTGGCATGCGGCAGACTGGTGCCGATCCATAGACCATGGGTTGGGGAACTCTGCCCCAGAAGATATATTCCACAGAAGGAAGGCAGCAACAAGCAAGGTCTACCTTTTTTCTGAATAAAGACCAGAGAGGAACCTCACTTCTTCTTGTTTAGTGGATGGACACTGCTGGGAGCAGGCAGTCCCAAAAAATAACCATACAGAGCCTCAGTGGCACAGTGGTTAGAGTGCAGTACTACAGGCTGTTTCTGCTGCAGCCAGCTGCCTGCAATTTGGCAGTTCGAATCTCACCAGGCTCAAGGTTGATTCAGCCCTTCCATCCTTCCAAGATGAATGAAGTGAGGACCTAAACTGTTGGGGGCAATATGCTGACTCTGTAAACCACTTAGAGACTGTGAAGCGGTATATAAGTCTAAGTGCTATTGCTAAGTGCTATATAATATGTTAAAGGTGACAACCAACACTTTGAATTATACCCAGGAGCCAACTTGTAGAGAATGCAGCATTTGGAATAGAAACGATATTGTGCCAAATGAGATATACCGCATAATCACCAGTTTTACCACATCCTGAATTACCTGTAACCTTTTGGTTAGCCTAGGGGGAATACATCGCAATAGTCCAACTGGTCAAGACATGAGACAGTGACTGTAGCCTGACCAGGTTTGGTGGACCAGATGGAATTGAGCCTCCTGGTCACAGGTGGTCTTGGTTCCTTGATCAGCTCTGATATATGTAATATTTAAACCAATGTTTTGCTTAAAATTAGCTCTTCTTAATCATTGAAACATTGTAACCATTTATTAGTATTGAAATGTCGTTGTAAAATGGGAAATGTTCAGGAAGTTGACAAATTCCAATACATGAGCATAGAACCTTGTGAATATGAATGTGAGCACACAAGAAAGCTTGACTGCAGAAGGGAAAACAACCCAAAAGGGATCTGCCAACTTATTCGAGTTACGATAGTTACCAAATGGCCTTGCCCAGTTTTCTGATTGTATATGATGTGGGAATGTTTCATAAATTAGCTTGAACGAAGATGCTCCTGATGTATGTCTATAATAGTTTGATATTTATGTAAAAATTCCAGTTAAAAATTAATGTCTATAAAAATGGGATCATGTGACTAGAATGGGATTGGCGAGGAATACACATTTCACCCCAGTAGTTTAACCTTGAAACCCAGAAGGAAGATCTGTGGATGTTAATACTTTTTAGCTTCTTCTTTCTTTGCTGCAGAGCTATTATTTCTTCAAGCTTTCAAGTGTGTCTCTGTAGTTTTGAAATGGCCCTGAGAGCTAAAGCCACCAGACGAATTTATTGATGGTCAGGAAGAAATTTTTCAGCAGGAAGCAAGTATCTAACAGAAATCTGCGAGAACTGAAATCAATGGGAAACTTATTAGTACATTTCCTCGTAGTACTTTAGTGCCATTTATGAATCAGCAGTTTCTTATTTTCACACTAGTAGAAACTGATTTTTTTTAAAAAATGAAGTTCATATTTAGTTGGGCAGCTGAATTGATTAATTTCTGGATTTGTTTGGCAGGCAGAATAATTAAAATGTAATTCACAAGTAATAACTATGGAAGTTGCCAGATCACTGCCCTCTTCTGCTTAAAATTGGAGATGGGTACTACACTTAACAAATCATATTTTAGACTCCTGTGCAGTCTAAACATCACATAAATTTTGTGTTCTTTTCACTAGCAAACCCACTACCCCAAGGATGTTACACAAAACAAAATAGCAACAAAAATAGGTAGTGAAGTTAAAGGCCTATGTTAAACCTTTATCAAACTTTAATACAATGGATTTCATTGGCTATGGACTACATTTTCATATTATTTGCAATTATTGTGATGTATCCTCTGATTCAGGAACAAAAGAATTCCTCCCCAATTTACACAACTACTTTATACTATAATATAAAAATATTAACAAAACTGAAAACACCAGTTTTGAGTAAGCAATTGCAAATCAACCTATCTCTTCCTTCACATGAAATTTTGGAAACTCTTTATCAATACCTGTGACTGGTAATTCGTTTCATATTTCCTGACATTGCTAGAGCATTCTCTTACTGATTTTTCTGACACACTTGTTGTTTCTGGCAAGGTAGCGCTTGTTGGAATCATCTATAAAGACCTCCATTTTATAGATGAACCACTTACAGTAAGTACCTATCACTTCATCTTGGAGCAATGAATCCCATAAATTAGAAGCAACAGAAACAATTCTCTTGTACTTATCAATTTTAGGAAGAGTGGAAATCTTTAACCTCACATTTATACTTAAGATTGCTATTCCGGGGGAAAAGAAAGAATTGGCATTGACTGGTTTTTATAGTTAAGTTGGGAATTACAGAGCTATTGGTTAGACTGGAAGTAAAACAAAACATTCTGGCAAATTACACTCTTGCAAGACTGCATGGAATTCAACAGGGCCCTGTCTGAAGGATTCTTTTACCTTACTTTTTCTTTTGAAACAAGCATTAGGAAGTTGAGGATACGTAAAACCCTGACAAAATGGCTGAAAGCTGAAAATTGAAAACCAATAAATGGTGCTCATCCCTTTCATTCCAAACATACTGCAGTAGGAATAGGTAGTTAACTGTTGCTCTTGTTGATGTTTATGAGCATCATTACTCAAGGCTACTTACAAGATTAAGTACATTGGTAAGAACTAGTGACTTCACTTTAATGTTTAGTGTTATGCTAATCAATAATTTAGTTTATACATTCATTCACAACTTACCATAGTTATAGATAGCATTATTATCTCCTGGTATGATACATGTGTAATAATGTAATTATTGCTGCTATGCTGAGATCTAGAAATACCACAAACAGATAAATTGTGACATTCCAGAAGAGGATGGAAATTTCTCCTGAATGCTACAAACATTCAAGCAACTTGGAAAGTGAAAGAGCTACTTAGCCATATACAGTAGTACCTTGGTACTCATCCTTAATAGGATCGGGGAGACATGACAAGTACTAAAAAGGATGAGTACCAAATAAACCATGTGACTTACCATCTGACCCTTTGTTTTGGCTGGGAAGGATTACCTATCTGTGCCTATTTCCTGTGTCAGCAATTTTTCAAGCAGGGCTGATTTCCTGTCCGCCTTCCATGGCTGTCTTTCACTTCCTTTTGCAGTGTGCATTGAGTACCAAACCAATGGTAAGTATCGGGACAACATGTTCATGTCAAAATGAGTCAAGTACCAAATTCAATGAGTTTTGAAGCAGTTAAGTACCAAGATACAACTGCATTACTATTTACGTCTACTGATATCTGCAACATCAAGAAAAACAAGGAACAGTTTTAATGAGTAGTTTTTATTTAAAAGTATGTATATAAGCTTAAAAAAACAAATAGAAAACTTATTGGTAGAGAGAGAATAGAAAGAGAATGACCCTTGTACAAAATCAGTTGCAGAATGCTTGTCTTTTTCCAAGATAACATCCAATCCAGAGAACCTTTTATAGTTAAGTCAAGTCTTTAAGGGTCTTAACCATCTTTAGATATAATGTAACATTCTAAATATGAAAAAGTTGTTTGTGGTTTTAAATATGCACTCCAGTTTTCCTTTATGCATCATTCTAAAACAATCTACTCAACAGTTATGTAAATAAAAGAATATGCCATTTAGTTTTTTCCAATCATAAACAACTTTAACTCCAAACCTCTCTCCTTGGAATTTGGTAAAATATGTATGAAACTGCCATGATACATGTTCATCAAAATCTTGAACTGATGATACTGCAGTAACTCGAGGTAGATCTGTTGGAATAGTAGCAGTGTACTGACTGTTCAAAAGATGTTGCTCAACTTAGAGGAAGACAGAAGAGTGGGAAATGAGTCAGAGCAAATTAGAACCATGTTTCCATCTGTAATGGGCAATTAAATTGAATCTCTGTTACAAGGTACCATGCATTCTTGTGCAAATTCTTTACATTTCCCTGGAACTTGCATGCAAAATAAATGGCAAATCTCTTTTAAAACAATCATTCTTTCTGTTACTTAGCCCATGACTAAAAGGGCTGTTGACTTGGTAACACATATTTATAAACTTAGAAAAAGATTTATAAAAACAAACAGGAAAATGAGCAGTGTGTCCTTTTTCTAACTTTTTCTCTCTTCAAGTTTTAAAATTGGTCTTCATTGTATATTAAGCCACCAGTCGGAAATAGAAGGAATGTGTGATTTACATCTTGATCTGCTAAGTAGAGAATCTTGCTTGTGTTTGCTTTGCTGTGCATTTCTGCAGGTTTTGCTAATTATGTGGTAATTGTTAAAGACATCTATATGCCACAACAACTTTAGAATTATGATTTATGATGTACATAAAAATGATTGAGGGTCAGGACACCAGTATCTTTTGTGCTGACTTGTTAAATTTCACCAAATGCAATAGCTGTTAAATAGATGCTTAGAATTTGCTGATTCATACTTCTTTACCATTTAGGAACAACTGCTTATTTCAGAGAAATGGCCAACTGGACACTAGCGAGCAAGCTATTTGATACAAATCGTTTCGAACATCAAACATTTCTAATTGGCATCAGATAAAATTACTTGGAAAGGACAGTTAATCCCAACATGCTGGGATAGTAGTAGTAGGTATGTTTCCAATAGTTTAAATCTGAAATTAGAACAACATATAAGATATATGTCAGTGTCCAAAAGGCTGTTCTATTTTTCTACTATAATGCACACAAGCAACTGTATTTAAAACTAGCATTTTCCTTCACGGAATATTATGCAGAGGAAAATGCATAAATGTGCTCTTGGATAAGGCAGCTTCCCTGTACATGTCAAGAAAAACAGGGCTGTGAAACCACTAGAAACCCATACATTAATTTATAGAATCACATGACTCCCACATGGCTGTGGAAATAATGTTGTCTCTAAATTTGAGATCTGAAGGCCAATATCTTTAAGTGTCCTGTTGATTATTTTATTAAATATATATTGTTTTATTTTCCCTTTCTTTTTATCCAAATGTGAGTATTAATCAATATCCCTGCTAAAAAGTTAAGATGTATTTTTTTTTAAAAAAATCACCTTTAAACTCTGATTGTCAGGTTAACTAGATATATTCATTCTAATGCTGCTTAAATTTCTATGGAATATGTGTATCTTTGCTAGCTTAAGGGGGCAATCTTCCAACCTCATTCGTTTTTGTATGCTGCTCATGGGATATCGAAAAATATAGCATTGAAAAGCTTGCAAGGGGCAATAAAGTGACCACTGTAATATTAGTATTTTTCTGTCACTATTGGGTGGAATGTCCTGCACAAGGGAAAAAGATAATCTGTTTTAGTAAACTATAGCAATGATAATAAAAACATTCATTCAGCTGTGCTTGTAAATCACTGGTGTTTCCTTATAGCCTTGTCTTTGAGGAAGTTCACAGTTCATTTAAGATATAAATGCCACAGCACCATAAAAATGGATCTGAATTATCCCGAGAAGCCATTAACTTTGAAGGAAGGTGGAGAGAATTGCCTCAACAAATGCAAATGATTTATGCTTCTCAGTTTCTCTCCAATGGCTGGCGCCTTGCTGAATATACACAAATTTGGAAGAAAAAAGGCATGTCAAAATAAGGACATGACAGAATCACCAAAAATCAAGTTCATTTCTCACTTAAATCTTCAGAAACCATCTCCTTCAAGGAACTAGAAGGTGTCAGTGCTCAGGCAAACATATAAAAAGTTCGTGAATAATTAGGACAAGCGATAGGTCCAGTTTGGTCTTCATTCCTTGCAATAAAGCTTACCGAAGAGGAACCACTTGGTGGATTGAGACATGCCACTGAGATGTGATCATGGAAGCTTTAAAGTTTCACTGCTAGGATGATTTGCTCAGGAAGAGAAATAAAAGTGAGTGAATGCAAATTCTGAGTGCAACCTCTTATAATAACCAGTCATCTGATTTTGGAATCAATGCTTTTGTCAAAAGTACTTTAAGGCACTTCAGTAGGTATTTTAAATATATTTGTAGGTATAAAAATAAAGTAAGTGCTGAGGCAACATTCATATATGATCATCTTTTGCATTGTCTCTCTGTATGTACAAAATAGGACATATATACATTCACGAGGGCTGTTCCATTATACTTTCACTGGTACTTTGGGCTGCCTTGTTAATTTCATTGCCTGCAAAACATCAAACCAAAAGTCAACTTGTTGCCTTCTTAAAATCACAATTAAACAACACTAGGACATATTTTCAAAATAATTACTATTAACTATTGAATCATTCTCCGGACACTAGCAATGACAAGAGATACAAGGCTCTAGCCTCAAGTTACAAAATTAATTCCTTGTAGTATTAGTAGATTTCTCTTCTTTTACTGAAATAATGTCAAGCACAAATTTATGTATCTCTCAGATTGCTAGAAATCAAAACTTGTACTTTTGTTTTCAAAGGTCACATTATAACTTCATAGTATCACAACTTGGCTTAACAATTTCTTTTTTCCTATTATGCTGAGATACATGACTTGTTTTGCTGCCCTCCCTGGCAAATCTTACCATTTTAATCCAGGCATTTGTACACATAATAAATGAAATAAGGCATCTACTGTAATCTAAATAATAAGAGCTGGTAAAATTTACTTAGAGTGAGGTCTTATTTTTATTGGGACTTTTTTAAAGGAAAAAAATACATTTTGTCCTTCCAGAAAAAAAACAAGATATTAGAGCACAAGGCATCCAGGTGTGTTGACCCTGCAGAAAGTATGATTTTTCTTTCCCAAATTTGATTTACAAGATTAAATGTATTCGATCAGAGAAGTAAAAGTTAAAACATTTCATAACCTATTGAGAAAGCAAGATCTTTGTTTTGATACACAGCACATCCCGTGGCACCATTTTTCAAGTAAAAAACCCTTTTGTTGGTGAAACTTTAAACAGTTAAAGTTTGTCAAACAGTTAAATTTCACAAAGAAATCACATGTTATTCTTCTTAAGGATTTCACTGAAAGTGAGTACAGCTTTCTGCTTGAGAGAAATACCAAAATGAAATGAAGGAAATAAGCACCAAAACATGATGCTATATTTATTTGAAAAACAGGACACCATTTTTAGACGCATCAAAATCAACTGTAGCTATTTTTTTTAAAAAAAATCTGTCTGAAATCTTAACTCAAACTCATCAAACTATAATAGTGCTTACTGTAAATTATGCAGAGAAACAAGGGAAAAAAGCCCTTCCTCTCTCTCTCTCACACAAATATACTGTGTGTGTGTGTGTGTGTGTGTGTGTGTGTGTATACACACACACACACATACACACTATATTACATAAATAAATTGATAAATATATTTTGAATCCATCTTTATTTACTTACCTTTTCAATGTGTCCGATTGCTAATGTGCACTTGTGTTTAGCACACTTTTTTTCCCCTTCCTGGCTAGTCAAGTACTTTTCTCAGACCAATCTAGAATATCTTACTGTAAATATAGTTTAGAAGAGTTCTGTTGGTCATCTTCTCTCCAACAGAGCAGAATTCTGCCTGGTTGTATGTTTTAATAACTGTTTTTTTGCCCACAGCCTCCTCGTGATCTCATTCTATCTCTTAATACTCACTTCTGTACTATCTAGGAAGGATGGAAATATTTTAAATGCGCCCTCAGCTACAAAACAACAGTCCACTCTGAACATTTGAGTCATCCAACATGCTGCTTTAGAAGTACTCCCAATCGTGTTCCAAGGCTGGAATAAAATCTTTGTTCTCTTTCAGTCCTGGACCACTCATATTAAGCTAAAAATGGTTTGAGACCAGAATGTTTTGCACGTTCCTAGGTTTATTTCACAGCATTAAGACTGCTTTTTTGGACATTTTATTCCAGCATTACCAATGTACTGGTAAATCATACTTTTCAATAATTGTTCCTCTTGTTTATTCCCAATAGTGAACTTTGCCTAAGATCATGATTTCTTACCTTTTGTCTAGAAATCATCCAAGATTTTATTGTTGGTACCAAAATGCTGCCAAGGAGGATCTGCGCTGGGTGATATATAAGCAATGGGACTGAAATTAAGGACAGATGCTTGTAACCTTCAAAAACTATCTTCAGCATTGGTATACCTGTAGGCAGAAACATAACCAAAATTAAGAAACCTTTGATGATTTTTCTGAGCTAAGAATTGTAGAAATGTATTTAACTTTTAAAACATTTTGTTCAAATTTGAAAAAAAAGTAAAAAACCAAGAGACACAAAAATAAAGCAACCAATTAAAAGATCATTGAATTATAATACAACATATAATTAAATATAGCAATGCATATTTATAGTCACAGTACATTATTATCATACATTAATATAACAGATATATAATGATCATACAATAGATTTTGGTGGGAGTATATTTGAGTTTTTTTCCCAGTGTGTCTGCTATGCATTTTTCTGATCTTGTCTGCTTTTAGTTCTGCACTCTGGAAAGAGTGCAGAAAAGAGCAACAAGAATGATTGGGGGACTGCAGGTTAAAACATATGAAGGACAGTTGTAAGAATTGGGTATATCTAGTCTAGTGAAAAGAAGGATTAGGGGTGACATGACAGCAGTGTTCCAATTTCTAAGGGGCTGTCACAAAGGAGAGGGAGTCAAGCTATCTCCAAAGCACCTGAAGGGCAGAACAAGGAGCAATGGAGAGAAATTCATCCAGGAGAGAATCAACCTAAAACGAAGGAGAAATTTCCCGATAGTTAGAATAATGAATCAGTAGAACGACTTGTCTCCAGAAGTTGTGGGCGCTCTAACACTGGAGGCTTTTAAGAAGAGGTTGGACAACCATTTGTCTGAAGTGGTGTAGGATTTCCTGCTTGAGCAGTGGGATGGACTAGAAGACCACCAAGGCCCCTTCCAATTCTATTAGTTGTTTTTAATCTGATGCTTTTAACGCCAGGTATAAGCTATCCACTCTGGATTATGGGAAAGCAAAGGTAAAAAACAGGACTGTTGCAAAAGAGATACTGTACCTCAGCTCAGAGGTGTGGGTTGGGGCAGAAACAGGCTCAGATTATGTCTGGCATTGATTGAGCAGGAAAATTGCATTGACAGGCTTTCATTACCCTGCTAGGAATAAAGGTCTTTCTAAGAAAGAGTTTGTCTCTGAAGTTGCCTTCTTGTAGTGCTTTGATACTCTATGATTGAGACAGCATAGAACTTGGAAACATTCTATAAGTACGTGAGAAAATATGAAAAAGTGATATTTTAAAAAACAGAGGAGTCATATGTCACAAGAAATAATTCCAATTTAGGGAAATTAAATATGTTCTAATGCTATATATGATATGATAAAGTAGGATGATGGGTGGAGACAAGATGGTGATGGATCAGCAGTTTTCCTGTTGAGCTCCAACCATGCAATTTATTTGGTTTAAATAGCCTTATGATATTTTATTTGGTTTAAATGGCTTAGCTACAGAAAAGGCGAGATGTTTTGCATGTTCCACAACTAGGACTGGATTTTCTGTCACTAGGCAAATTGGTCATAAAGCATATTACTGGGTGACAGCAATCTTGGCCTTCCCTATTGCCAAATTCTGCAAATCGTTAGGCAAGGATCCGCCCCAATCCAAGTCATTCTGGGCTTGATCCTCCTAGGCTGAATTACTACTATGGACTGTACTCTAAATGCTGCAACCAAATTACTTCAGACCCTAGTAATAGTTTAAGCTGCAAATATCAATGCAACTATTGTACTTTGTAGATCTGGATAGATTTGTTGTGCCTTTTTGTTAAGTAGAGAGTTAAGTGGAGTTTAGGGCAGGGGTGTCAAACTCGATTTCACTGAGGGCCGTATCAGGGTTGTGTTTGACCTCAGGGTCCGGGGTGGGCATGGCCAGCTCAACGCCACTTGTGTTGGCGCTTGTGTTGGCCTGAATGCTCTACCAACAAAAACGGGCTCTCAAGCTCCAATTTTGGTCACGACTGCCTCCTTTAACCTTCTGCCAGTGAAAATGGAGCATGCGGCCCTCCCGGGCTCAGTTTTCACTGGCAGAGGGTTGCAGGAGGCTGTCACAGCTAAAAACAGAGCTTTCACTGGCAGAGGCATGAGGGCCGGTCCTTCACTGTTTCCAGGGAAGCCCCATGGGCCAGATCTAAACACCCCGTGGGCTGCATCCTGCCTGCAGTCCTTGAGTTTAACACTCCTGGTTTAGGGAATATTTAGAACAGTAAAAATCTATGGGTTTTGGTTGGGTTGGTTTCTTGCACTTTAACGTCCATGTTCTTGTGTCCTATTGGTGTTTAATGTCAGGATACATTTACATGTAAATTTATAGGACTTGGGGCTGCAGGGTTTCAGTTTTCTTATATATAGTATCATTTTTTGCAGCCATTAAACTGACCTACACACACATTCAGCTCAGAGCAACACAAGAATTTTAAAGACAACACAAAACCTATGACAAAATAAAAAGCAAAAAAGTCCTCTGTTGCTTTAACCTGCTTGAAGAAGAGTGCAAGTTTTTGCCTAGTGCTACTTACGGCCTGCTCTAAAAAAAATAACTCAATGAAACTATTTAAGAAATCTATAAAAAAGAAATGGCTGAAAAAGATTGCACCCTTTGGCAAAAAAAGATGCTCTTTTTTACAGCACACATGACTTCAGTTTAACCCAGTAGAAAAATCAGTAAGTATATGCCTCCTATGCTGATACCCCACATACTTTCACATATAGCCATCTGTTTTCTTGTTTTTTTTAACTGTTTCTTTTGCAATAGCTACATTCCATGAAAATAGCATGCTGAACTTCACACCATTTTAAAGCTGTAATTGTAAAAACAAATTGGCAAATTCCATCTTGCTCTCCTTGAAGCTACAGAAATGAACAAATCAGCGTTGATGCTTCAGGTGTGACAGGACCCAAACAGGCTTTAGGAGATAGCATTTGACTTTATGGCACTTCGCATGCACTTACAATTTTACAGGAATTTTAAAACTGACATGCTGAAGAATAAATTTTATAAATCATTAATAAAAAATGATTTATAAATCATTAATAAAATGCCTCTTTAATACCATGCATTGTTTGAGAGATGCAAGGAGGCACATAGTGTAAATGGTTTTCTTTCTGACTAATGTAATTTATAAAAAAAAAAACACCCCATGTCCCCACTGTGTACAAGTATAACCAAGGATAGATAAAGAGCATCATCTCAGCACATTACTACCTGATCCAATCACTTGGGAAACCCCTAATGTACAGCACATCCTATTTCCATGTTACACATGACACATTTGTCTAAAATTACTCAACAGATTTTGACACTGCAGCATAGAGCTTTCAACTGTCATCTCCCAAGCAGGAAATCCATGTAAGAGCAACAAGGATCCAAGGATTTATTTTATCTCAGACTCATGATAACAAAGATGAAACACGAAGAACTGAAATTCACATTCTCACTTCCCTACATCCATTCTCTATTTTGATATTTTTATTTTATGTACCTTAACCTCTATAATTTGCTCAGAGTAGCAACTGAAATACAGGAAATTCATCATGCAAAATGAAATTATTATTTGGCCCAATTCTTATTTATTCTAATAGTTGTAGTTCTATTTCTTCAGTAGACATTCAAAGCAATTCATTTTTTTACTACTGAATTACTCTCCAAATCACTTTCATATATTTACAGTATATATTTTACTGAAATATTCTAGGTAAAGCTTTAGAGCTATGATGGTGAACCTATGGCATGTGTGCTGGAAGTGGCACATAGAGCCATCTCTACAGGCACACAAGCTGTTGCCCCAGCTCAGTTCCACTGCGCATGCGTGCGCACCTTCCACCAGCCAGCTGATTTACGGGTATCTGCCTTGCATGCGTGTGTGTGTGTGGGGGGGGTCCTGCGTGCATGCACAGGGGGCGGAGGGAGCGCAGGGGGATCCCGCACACATGCACAGGGGGTGGGGGGAGCACAAGGGGGGTCCCGCATGCATTGTATTATGGGTGCAGGCATGCATGCGCATTCTCACACATTCACACGTGCACTTTCGGCATGAGACAACAAAAACATTAGCCATCACTGCTTTAGAGGAATTAGCTACTTATAACATGGATGCACAGGAGTAGTCTTGCCAATATGACAACTATGTTGATACCATCATATCCATTAGCAGTCTGGCTAGGGATTCTTGGAATTATGGCACCAGATTGGGATATTTGACAAAAGACAAAAAGCTTCTTTGGTTAAATAACACCCCCCACCCCCCACCCCGAAAATGGACTTTTCTGCCCATAAAAAGGCTTATTTCCCAAACATAAAAATAAGACAACCCCACTAAAGAGCACCTTTCACATATTCTTTTCACAAAACAAAATTATTTGGGCCATGTAAACAGGCCATACGCCAAGCTTGTAGCGATGAAAGGTGTCTATTTTATATATGGCTGTAATGAAGAATACACTACTGAAGACATCTGTCAAAGGAAAAGTTAAAACACAGTCTAATTTGATTTGACTTCTCAGTTTGATATTACTGTCAGGCAGTAAGTACTAAAAGCTTGCAACTGCACTGTTTTATGGTGCACAAACCTTTCAGTGGTTTAAAGGAGCTATCTATCTATCTGTCTGTGTGCGACTGTGTGTGTGCGTGTGTGTGTGCGTGTGTGCATGTGTGTATAAAAGCATCAAAAGCTGCACAGGGCATGGGAGTGTTAATGCTATACACACATTAAGCCTATACACATTTGTTTCAGCTCTTATTTTGTCAGATGAACAAAGAAAAAGAATTGTTTCCCAAAATCACCATTTTGCAGCTGAATTTCAGAGGTGCAATCTCTGGGTAGGGGATGAAATTTCAGCTGCAAATGCAAAGGTAGGCCTAAATTTGCTAGTAGGCTCTGGGTTGCCTAATCAACCCATCTATATACACAACAAAGGGCAAGAGAAAAAGAGCCATTTGGTGATCACTTCAGCTTACTTCGGTATTTTCTGAATCTGGAACTACAATATGCTGCATTAGCATCCAATGCAAAGAACCAAATTCCCAATTTAAAAGGAAAATTTTTTTGCAGCCCCCTTGATCAGTTGTGCCATTCTACATCATGCAAGAATACAGTACTTCATTGTGTTTCTGG